ACGTGACGTCGCCTCCGCGCCGCGCTCACCACCGTCACCAATATGGCTGCCGCCTGCCATTCCGCTACACCACACCACAGTCACGCCACACCACAACACCACAAGTGGATTGGCTGACCTCATATATGTTTGTACCCTTGTTCATCACTGCACTAATAAAATTCAGGATGTTTTCAAATGTTAGTGGAATTATCGGTGGCAGCATTTTAGTCTGTACTTTAATATACTTATTCTATAATTCAGTGCGGCTTTTCCGCAACCGTCGCCTTTGTGCTGAATGTTGGTTTTGTCGCACCCAAAACCTGGTTCAAGTTCACGATCGCAATTCCTTCTACTGTTTCGCCTGCCATCAGTATAACGGTTTTACGAACTCAGGAGATTATAACCGCCTGCTTCCTGCCCAGTGGGAACCTAGTTTAAATCCCTCCGGTTTCTCAATGCCTTGTAAACGCAGTGCTTCCAACTTCACTACTCATTCTGATATTCTCTGTCCTTTGTGTTCGCAAAAGCAAGAGTATATGATCAACCAGTTGGCAGGGTTTGAGGCTTCAAGTGAAGCAACTTGGGACTATGAATTAAATCTCTTTAAACAAGGACTGGAGCGTCGTTGCATGTTGTGCTCTGTTTGCAAAGTCAAAGTCCACAAAACTATCAAACAGGTAAATCTCGATTTTTGCCTCCATTTCATTACAGTCAATTTGTGGCTAGGCGTAAAGTTGTAACTGCAACCTAACTGACTTATGAGATAATATGTGGAGTTAAACTCTCTCTTGCTTAGTTGTTGTCACTAGTCTTGTATTTACGTCCTGGCTGTGAAAATTGACTAATAAATAACGGATTAAACTTCCCAGCATTTAAAGCTTATTTCATAGCCGAGCGCCTGCTGTTTTGTTCGATCTTTTTATTTTAGGTTGATGCTAGTGTCATTCCATGCGTCTTGTCATGGTGGCGCAACCGTGATCTGACACATCATAATACCCGCCGTCCGCCTAGGGCACAATGGTTTAGAACCGAAACTGACATTACCATACTGGGAACCATCAGGTTTGCTCTTCGAACCCTCACCTTGCTGTTATGGTTGTCCCTTGTGATTTTTCCTTGTCTTCATTGTCTACAGCAAATGTGTCAGTCTCACACCAATAACTGTGGATTTCTGCTTAGAGTCCCGTTTATCGAAAAGTCGATTTCATTGTTGGCTTCCCACTTACCTGGAAAACTCTGCAAGTGTTTCCTTGGCTACAACCCTGTTGTGACTCTCAAACCTTTCCAATCATTGTGGGCCCCACTACTCTGTCTGTTCGGGCATCTTTGTTTGTTAATTATGCAGACATTTTACCCCACGGATAGCACGTTCTTCACCGCCCTGGATGTTATGCTTGCTCTTATCAGTGCAAGCCTCGTCGTCACCAATCAATCTCTTAGGTTGTTTATCGCTCCCAGTCCGTTCGGTCTTGGTGTGGCGATCGCCGCCAGCTTCCTCCTTCTCGTGTGGCTACTCTACTCTAAGGATATTTTTTTGAGGCATCAATGGAAATCCACTACACCTTGGTCAGTGGCATCAACACCAGCCGCACGTCCGCCGTCTTCCCCCTTGGCTTCGGTAGCTTCGCTCCCATCATCATCTGAGGATTTTTTGGCCCAATGGATTCCAATCGATAAACTCTCACTGAAGCCCTCTGTTTCTACACCGTCCTGTCAAAACCCTCCTTCCTACTACTCAGCAATTTTTTCCCCTTCTACGCTTACGACTTCGGTGGTTGCAGGACACCAAAAGTACGCTTGTACACCAAGTGCGATGTCAGCCTACTCCGCCCTTAATCCAGGCCCGCCAGCGACTCAACAATATGAGGAAGACATGATGAGTCATTTTACTAGTGTCAGTCAACTGGGTTTTCAGCAGCGAAAGACGAAAAGACAACGCAGGAAGCAAAAACGACCAGTTGGGTTTATCCGGTGGTTGTTATGCCTTCTATTTGGACCTCTTGATACATGGGCTGATGTGAGAGCTGAGATTTTCTGTCTATCGTACGCTGTTTTCATAACGGTTCTCTTGATTCTCGTTTACAACTTTTTTCTGTTGCTTTATCGTTTTCTGGCGTTTGTGTGAAGCAAGATCGCACTATTTTTCAAGTCTTGTTGGTTTTAATCGTTCTGAATCTAGACTGGGTCGTACCATTTTTTAAAATTGGAATGTATGAAAAAGTTATGGCTTGACTCCATTCTAAAAGCCATTATCAACTATTTGAACTTCAGTTTAAGTTTAATGGCGGACCAGAGGTCTGAATTTCGCTGACTGCCCACGCTGCCCTATTTTACTGGTTATTTCTGTTTCCTTAATCGGCTTTCAAATATTGTCCACGCTCCTGCCCATAATGGAAATTTAGTAGGTCCTGCACTTTGTTGAGCTTCTCTACTAAGTCATGGCGGAGTTTTCTTTCTCCACGACCTTTATGACTGAATTGCATGTTCAAAAATAGGGGTCGTTTAAAATGAAAAATACTTGTTAGCATTATTGTACTAATGTACTATGGTATTAACCTAAATCCATCATTAACGTATTCAGTGATAGGATTATTTTCCCACAATTTATGTAACCAGGACGTCCAATCTACCATTAAGTTTCTGGACCTTCCAAATGATAAATATGGTTACCTCTTGTTTAGCTTTGTTCATAGCATGGAAGAAAGCTTGGTCATATTTGACAACAGTACGTTGTTCAATCAAATGACAATAGGTGTTTGAAATGCATTTTCTTCAGAGCAACATTTTACTTTAGTGTTCCTAGGTAAAATGTCTCTTTAATCCTGTATGTACAACACACCGTATCAGTTGTCTTCGCTGTCCACCGTGTGGCTGAGACAGCCTATCTTCGGATGCGGTCGAATACCCTAAAGTATAATGTTAGTAGCCATGAGTCCGCGTTTAGGGCTTTTTAATCACGGAGAAGCACTGGCATGAAGCTAAACAAGGCTCTCTTGGGCGAAATTTTCCTATTTATTGGAGTTGTAGAATATTGGGGCCCAAGTAGGAGAAAGTCATTCACAAATAAGCCTCTATTGAAACGTCACGAGCTTGGATTGCCCGTTAACCGCCACCACTCCGGGATCTCAATACTGGCTTCGCCTTCATTAGGTGCGTGCTTCTCATGTGCCCTTGTCTGTGGTTGGATACTGATCTTCCTTTAAGGTCATTAAAACACTCCTGAGCAGTGAGTTAGTTGGACTCATGGTTTGATATAATATGGCTGTGGTGTAGACAGGTACCACAAATTTTTGGCCGCCACTGCGGCTTAAAGACGAGCATATACACTGCTGAGCGTATTATTTTGTGATATTGGACCAAAAATTGGTCAGCCTGAGTTTTCACACTAGACAAACGGCGAATTGTTGAATGTATGACTGACACGACCTTCTGATTGGTGACTGGCAAGTTCTAGTAAGTCATGTTCAAATGGTCATAAGCATCGGAAGATTTCTATTTCACTGCCGATAGGTAACGGGACTTTTGTTAGCGCGTTTTTAGACCATAACAATTAAATTGACATGAATAACCTGCACAAAAATAAAGAATGCGGACGTATTATGCAACAAAATAATTATTCCTTTGGAACCTGAACGGATTGTTAATCAACCAGAAGTTGTTAATTCCGCGTAAAGTCACAAGAATTAAGTTTGCAAGCCAAACGAACAGGTCCAAGTTACTTGCGAAAGCTACTCGTGTCATGATAATTGTATTCATGGATTGCATCGGAGGCTCAAAATGCTTAAAAAACCAAAACGGCAGATTTTTGAGCTTAAAACTACTTAAAACTGAAACAGGCTTCCAATCTTTTGTGATTTTGAAAAGGTCTGACGCTAGGTTTCAGGACGACAGGTCTGTCTTATTTACATAATCTCTCTGACTAGCAGTCTACGATGGCGACTGATATACGACAAATTCGATGGCACTGCATTTTATGCGAACC